CACCAAGCCCCGCCCACCCACTCCCCTCTCTCCATCATCAGTCCGGCCCACCCACGCAGAAACCTTACCCCCGCAGAGCTGTCGCTCTGCCCGTCCAGGTCCCTGTTCCACCTTTAGCACCCCACTCCGTGACCCCGCTAGGTTCTTAACTCCGCCCAGCTCCTCCTAGCTCCACTCATCTCCCTGACCTCACCCACCTTCCCCGGCCCCCGTCCCAGTCTGATCCTCTCAAGAGGCTTCTCCCGTTAGCCTCGCCCACCATTAGCTCCGCCCTCCCAGACCCCGCCTCTCGTCTGTCCCCGCCCCTCGTCTGTCCCCGCCCCCCTGCTCCCCGTATGGACCCGAGGGCCTGTGCAGATACACCGAGGCCTTGTTCATGGAGAATGGCAGGTGGGCCGTGCGCAGCAGGAAGATTATGCAGGTGACCAGCACGGCACCAGAGTAGAGGCATAGGGACAGGACGAGCAGCATGAAGAAGCGGAAGTTGCGGTGACCGATGCAATTATTGACCCACTTGCAGTGGTGATCAAAGTCCTGGGCCACAGGGAATGGGGGGCTTCCATCACCTCCCAAATCCTGAGGCCATCCCCCTGCTCTCAAGGCCACGTGCCCTTAGCCCCGAGCACTAGTTCCTACCCCCAGGAAGAAAGTGAGCCACAGTCCCTAAGGCTGTCACTTCCGTTGTTAGAGCACTGTTAGGGCTCTGTGGCTCATAAGGTCACATGTCAAGAGGTCTTTCGAAATAAGGTCTGCCTGGTCTTCTGTGAGACACATCCTAGTATAACTTTGGGCAGGACATAGAATATCTCTGGGCCTTTACTTTCTCATTTATTAGATGAGGACCCCTTTGCCCAGCCAGTCTCCTGCACTTGTAAACCTGTGCAGGTTGTGCACAGCAGACAGACGAGCACTCAGAACGCAGGAGACCCTCCAACTTGGACATCCAGAGGCGGGCAGACAAAGCTCCCAAACCAGACCTGCAGCCAGCCAGAGTCTATCTAGTGACAGCGAGCTTGGGGGTGGGACAGGAGATGCCTTTCCTCCCCGTGGCCTAACCAGACCCAGTATAGATGTGGATGCCCCATGCATGTCAGCGCCTATGCAGGCAAGGGCCAGCCTCCCAGGACAGATGCTGGCATGGAAGTGGTGACCTGCATGAGTGACCAAGAGTAGCTGGGAGTTACTGCCACCCTTGGACTTTAGCAGTCCTGGAAGATGATTTCATGTCCACCCCTGGCTCCAGTCAGGTAGTGGGGGTTGGGGGCCACGTGGGCAGGCAAGAGGGGCACTCACCTCCACACAGATGTTGCACCAGGGGCAGTGGTGGGTCCGGGGCGGGCGGTGGAAGCAGCACTTTTGACACCACTGCAGGCGGAAGGCCCTGTGGTTTACCCACACCACATGTACCATCATGGGGTCCTGCTCGACAGAGCCTGGAATGGGAAAAGGATTGGGCAGCAACAGGGGCCCTTCCATCACTCTGCTGCTCGGGTGCAGCCCCATATTATGACTGGCCACAAGGAAGGGTGGGGAAGAGGTGGGCAGGGGAATCCCTGTCCCCACTGAGCAAGCTGACCAAGCTCGGAAAGGCTGGCAGTGAAAGGGAAGGTGGGTTTCCAGCCAGAGGAGTTCTATATAGATCTCAGGCCTCTGAAACAGTGATTGATAGTTTAAGTCATGCACACAATGGAAAGGAGGAGGAGCAAACTGAGTAGTTTAGAAGAGTCCGCCAGCCTCTCTTCCCACCCTGCCCGGCCCCCCCTTCCAAGGCAACTGGAAAACCTCCAGAATTCTGTTTTTCCACACCTCGGTGGCTTGGGAAATGAAGTGCCAGGGACAGAGCAATGAGGGTGATTGGGGGTTAAGGGAGGGAGGGTAAGGTGAAGGGGTCCTGAGGCCGGAGGAGGGAAGACTGGAGGAGTTCTTTAGGAATCATCTCAGCAGACACCAGCCCTTAGGTTGCCACCTCTTCTACCGAGGATCTGAGGCCTCACCTTGATGTAAGATGCCAGGGTCTGAGAAGTTGAGTGAAACGAGACTGAAGAAGGTAAGGATAAAGAGGGGGCCTGTGATGATGGGAAAGGCCCACTCCCCGTTCTGAGCCAGCCACCTGCAACTGAGACCAGAGCCAGACTTAGTCCTGACTTGGGATGGCACAAAGCTCCCCCCCAGGGCCTGGTTCAGCTGGGTCAGGACTCACAGACCTTAAAGGCAGCTCTAAATATCCAGGCTAGTGACAGACCCATAAAGGCTCCACCAAATGTCATCAACATTACTAGCCACCTTCAGCTCCCCAAATGCACCAGGCACTCTGGGCCTCTGTGCCTTTGTACATTTGGTTCTCTCTGCCTAGAACATCCTCCTTTCCCTGACCTCTGACCCCCTCTTCTGCACTCCCCTGCCTCTGTGCTATCATTATCTGTTTTCCGTTCTGCCTCTTTGTAAGCCATCTGATGGCTCGTGTGGGAGACTTACGGGAATGCGAAGAAGTAACCACTGAAAATGACCAGCAACACTACATTGAGGGCAGCGAACAGGCTCGGGAGGATCCAGGGAAATGGGACCTGAGGTGGGGGTGGAGTCTCCTTCATGAGGGGCATGGCATCCTTTAAGAGTGACATGGCTGGGCCTTTCGTGCCCTGAGGAGAGATCAGTGCCACCAGGCTCCCTCTCCCCTGCTGGCTCCCAGAGCCCTATGGCCCAAGCGGCCTTGGAAGTCACAGTCTAGGATGGAAGGAAAGAAGTCCCAGTGTGACATCACAGAGGCTGAGGAATGGGAGCTGGGTTCTTTAGCAGAACTGTCTGCAGCCTACTCTGGCTGCTTGCGGTGACTGACACTGCCAACAGCAAACCTACCTTACCCCTACCTGTACTGGGGACTGAGAGATCCTGCCCTGAGGGGCTGGCTTTATTGGAGACCATACGACATTAGAGAAACACAGACGAGGTTGGTGATTCTCATCACTCTCTTAGGCCAGTGCTCATTGAACATCCTATCTCCCTTTCTTCCTTTTCGTTGTGACAAAATTCCATTTTGGGGGTGGGGACAGCAATCTGCTCAACTAAATAATTTCCCATAGTCCCTTATTTCCAGGGTTGGCTTCACGACACAATTCAGGTCATTGAGACATATGTGAATGTCTGTTGGGGATTTCTGGAGAGGTTTTTGCCTTCCCTGTGTAAGGGAACTGTCCTCTTCTTTCTGTTTTGAACCTAGTCATGCTGGTTGGCTGGGGGTGCCACCTTGGGTCCACTGGCAATGTCAGCATACTTCCCAGAGAGAACTCGACGTTATTGTTGAGTTGCTGCCCCGTCCCTGAAACTGCCTCCCTTTGAGCCGCTTACTATGTGAGAAAACAAATGGATTTTCCGTCGCATGCCACTGACACTGCCATTTGTTTTGGCCACTGAACATCTGAACCCCTCTGTGTTTGGAGGATTTCTCACACCATAAGTCTTGATGAGAGTCAAAGACTATTCATTTCCCCATCACAATTGGAGCTGAAAATGGCCAGATACTTGCATTGGTGCCTTGCTTAAGCATGTGACCCAGGTGCCACCACCAATTAGC